GAAACTTTAAACTTATTTATTTTCTTATGTTTTATATTTAGTATTTTAGGCGGAGTTTTAATTATGCTTTAGATAAAGTTTGAACTTATTTTCTTTATTTATATGTATGGTATAAATATATAATACTAGCTGACTTCGCAAACATTTTTTGCCATATATAGTATTTTGACTATATTTGTTTACCATAAAAACGGTTCTTGTGATAATCTTTCAAGATATAAGTACATATACAGTATATGAAGTTTTTAGATTATTTAAAAAATAATAATTCTTTCATACTTATTTTTCTGTAATCTCGAACCGCTTTCGCACCACACGCATCGGACACCCTCAAAGATAATTTTTTTTCGAACCGTAATGTGGCATGAAATATTATTATATTATGACTAAAGTAACCGTAACTATGACATAAAAATAAGCTAATTTAATCACCTAATTCGAAATTATCGAGTTCTATCGAAATAACTAAGATAATGGCTTAATGAAATTACAATGACCTTCATATTCATTTTAACAACTTATCGCTTTGATTATTGACAACGCATCCATTTTTACTGGCGCGTAATTCTTGATTATTCATACAATGGTAGCATTGTATGAATAATCAATGGTTGTGAGTTCGATCCTTACGGAGTCCATCATTTTTGTGAAACATATTGGACGACTTCGTCTCTGTATATAAAATGGATGGTAGGAATATCGAAATTCCGTCCGGGTCACGAACCACAGATAAAAAAGCCGTGAAATTTAATCGCGTTTCGGTGTTTATCTGTGGACTTCCGAATGTCCAAAACCAAAAAGTTTTTCTATTTTATTATTTCTTACACTATTCTTATTGTATTGTAATTCTCATGTCAACTCTTTTGACTTTCTTTTCGTCGCAGATGAGAGAAATTGTACACTTTTGTCTATTTAGCAAGTCCGTTTATTAACTGTCAAGGTAAGCAAGCACAAGGATAGAAAGTGAAATCTATTGAAGACTGGCCATTCACTTATTTCTGGTCTTTTGTACGGAACGTTTAGGTGACTATTTATTGATTAACTTTTTGTGGTTATTTCTATATTTAGTTTGTATTTTTAGAGGTTATAATAAATCAAGCTTTTTAGGGCACAATCTAAATGTATTTATTGCTGAATTGTGCTGTAAAATTATATTATATCATCACAACAGAATATACAATTACATATATATATGAGAGTTTAAAAAAATACATTGCGCCACATAGGAGGCAAAAACATTGATAAAACTCGATGAAAATTGACGGTTAGTCGTGAATTCGTTTTCTGCCTATGTCACAATATTTTTAAATATAACCTTATTTTGTTTTCGATGTTTCGTATGAAATAAATGTTGTTTTGATCTATTGATTGCCTGTGTTTTCACATTATGTATACTATCGTGACGTAAGTAAAGCAAATTAATTTTGCACAGATGGTTACAAAATAATACGTTCAGTACAATACATATCTGCTATAGAAGGACACAATGGTTATTAAACGTGGGTTTGACATGTTCAGGTACAATAGGTGCTGCAAACAATGGCACTCTTCATATTTGGAGCTGTGCAAATATTTGGCGTCGCCAATTCTTTTCATACTATTAAAAATGAGAACCGGATCTCTCATATCAAGTTGCTAACCAATATATGCTTTTAACACGTTTCTTAAGGGTTAGTTTTAATGACTGGAAGTTTATTTAGCTTACAATATATATGAACAATTTATACACGAACATAATTTCCATACTATCCCACGAAACCTGAATTGAACTTGCTTGAAGCCAATCATAATACAAATAATTATTCTTTGTAACAGATGTAGGCTTAACTAGTCAATAAATGTAGGCATCTACTTTAAACCATATTGTCGCGGTAACAAAGTAATATATATTCAGAAGGGTGCTCTTAGTAAGTCGTTAGTTAAGTTAGAAAATAAAGCTGTGGCAGCGTTGAGTAGTATTTTTTTTTTGCAAAACTCCTGTTCAATTTTATAAGTTTAAGTGACGACGTCGTCCAAGTCCCGTCGTTCTAGCGAGTTAATCTTAAAAGATAGACATATACTGTCGCGGACATTTTTCTAGATCATTTAAAAAGGAATCATTCTTTCATACATACCATTAGGTATCATGAAAGGTTTTTGTAGTGTACGAACATTTCCCGCTATATGTTCGCTAATATTAGTCGCAGCGCAATGTTTTTAGCCTTTCTTGAATAGTATTAATGCTCTAACGAACACAAAAATAATTTTTCAATTACAAGTTCCTGAGATAAGCACGTTCAAACAAACAAACAAACTATTCGGCTTCATATATTAGTATAGATTCGTTTAATTAGTAGTAAGCACGGTTGTAGGTAAGAGTTACAGTCACGCAGAATTCACTATTACGCAAATAAGAAATATTTTCGTTGTGTACCGGTGTAATTAGCGAGATGATTCGGCGACGCGGCGACGGTTTTACATGTAACGGGATATTTCGTCATGCATTAAAAAAATGTGGAGTGAAACCTACATTTCTAATATTAGTCTTATACATACAATATGTTGAGAGTGTCGAAAAAATTACAAATACAATAAATAGCTAAATATTAAAAAATTCGACGATAAGGTGTACGACTCGGTAATTCAATTGGTATAGCAACAGCACGGAACGCTGACGATGCCGGTTCAAGCCCTGCCCGAGTCGATTTTTTTTTCAATATATTTTGGATTTTTAAGCTAAATATTAGTTTGACATTTGTATCAAGCATGACATTAAATTCATACTTACGACTAAAATATATGAAGAAATACGGTATTTGTGTATGAAATAAAGCACTTTTAACGGATTAGACCCGTTAAAAGTGCTTTATTTCATAGAACTTATTACTAAATTATTCCGTAGAACCCGACATACTACAGATAATGCTTCTCCAACCAGACCTTATAAAACTCTTTTATAAGTTTATATATTAACACTGAATCATTTAGGAAAATACTGTCTATAGTTTACGCGAGTAGTACACATTTAAATAAAACACTTTAACGTTTAAAACGCAATATATTAGTTAAACTTCTTTGAAAATGATTTTTAACTTCGGCCCAACGTTTCGGATGCTTCAGCAGCCGTGGTCACAGGGAGACTATTCAAATTATTCAGACGAAGACCATATTGTTACAGAAAAATTATAAATTCATAAGAACTCTCCCCGTGACCACGGCTGCTGCTTACCTGGCGGTAACAAAGATTAACCAGGGAAGAATAAAATTTATTATAACGATACGTATTAGGTCGTTTTATATCTTACCGAAACATAGATATTAGTATGCGACCTTCAAACATTTGCCAGACAGTTGTGAAATAAAAATGTTTAAGGTTAATACTAGGCATATATATTATATAATAAGTATAAAAGTTTCTTTATACCGTGAACTTGGTCATGATCAAGAGACTAATAGCTGTGGTTCTAATCCACAGCATCTAGCTACTTTATTGAGGATTGAGGAAACTATAGCAATACTGAAAAACCCAATAAGCAGTAATCATAATTCAGGTTTTTTGTTCTAATGTTTTTCCAAACTTTTATTTCAAATCAACGTAAGTGCGCAAATTCTTGTGGTCTTAATTCTTAAAAGTTAGTGGAATGGTCATTTGCACAATTAAGGTCGAATCATTGTAGAATCGCACAACCTTAACCGAATGTTTTGTGCAAAGTTATCTTAAATAACACACTTTTAACGGGTTAAAACGCGAAATGCATTAGTTGTATTTTTTTTTTACTACGGCCCGTTGTTTCGCATGCTTTGTAGTAACCATGGTCCTGGCAGACCATCTGGCCTTAGTTAGAATTGTAAATAAGTCATCGTTTTGCGTTTTAAAGCGTTGAAATTGTTTTATTTGTATGTTTACTACCCGCGTAAATTGCAGACAATACTAATAGTTTTATTCACTTAGATATGGTTTCTCTTTGACATAAGGACAAGACGCAATAATTAATTATACTATCTTGAACGGGGCCTTAGACAGGAACTTGTGTCGTGAACCAAGAAAGATCAGAAGTTCACATGTATGGCATGGCATGTGAAGGGAAAAAAAGAGGGCTCCACAAAGGGATCGGGCGGCCATTGCCCTCACAATGCTCTGCTCTGTAATGATTTCATTCCAACATGATTTCTAAAAACAAAATTATCAGTCTCCAAATGTTATTACGAACGTATATTTGTTCGTGAAATGTTTATCAGTTGTGATACCATTGATTGATCGTTAAAAATACCTCAAAACAATACCTAAGTCACACTTATTGATAATCCGTGTCGTGAGCTGTGTTTTTGTTGATAACATTTTTGAAATTTGATTTTTTAAATCTGCATTTATAAGTATAAGTATTCTCTCAAATTTTTTATAATAATTTTATTTATAAATGGAATTCTTAGTTAATATTATTACAGTCAAACTGGGAGGTCTTTTATAGAAATCTAGAAAGGGTTTTCCTTAAACGTACTTTGTAAAATGAAACTAAGATATGTCGTTTGTTTTGTTTACACACAGACGTACAGAGTCAATTAGGGATTAAGTGTACTTAGCCGTGTCCCATTTCCTAGCTCGTGAAACGATAAGATTTGTTGCAGTTGATTTAATGTTTTACTGCCTTTCATATATGTATTTAGACAATACATAGTCGAGCTGTATTATTCGTTACACAGAACACAGTTTCATTTGCGTGACACACTGTTACCTAGATATGCGTTTTGGGGGAAGTAGGTGGATGAACGGCATTCAATGATCCGCTAAGTTCGGGGCTTTGAACTCCACAGAGTCGAATTGATTCATCCAAGATTTTGTTACAAATATCCTGCCGTTGCGCAGCTGTCGTTCGCGTTCAGGTTCGACCACCTATAATTATTGGGGATGCGCGCAGGTATACACGGCCTATGGTCCCTTTGTTCGGTAAATAATTTTATTGAATGGTAAATTGCAGGTATATACAACCATATGGGTTATAGCTCAAACAAATAATCCTCACCTATATGAGCCAGGTCGATGATGGGAATCTCGCAGCGCGCAAGCAGGGTCTCCTCTTGAGGGTTCGCCATAGTCGTAACTGGTCCTCGCTCGAACACTAGCAGCACTATTCCGCCTTATCACTCGCAAGTAATTAGCAATTAGCGATCTTGACACCGAACGATAAGAGGACAGGGTACGATAAACACTAGGGCAGACGGTGCGAGACCGTACGTTAAAGTTTATTAAAGTTGTGAATGGTCTTTTGATTACCCCTGGTATAGAACCGTTCAGAACTCATTTGCATAACCTTGTAGTTCCTACTCGAGGCGTTGAACGATCTGACGTAGCAGCAATGAGCTATACTGACTTGACACATTAAAAATTGGTTTCCGTCGTTCTCACAGTAAGTATGTGGATTCGTTGCTCCCGCGTGTACGACCCGACGGCGTCGCGCGCCCCCCGTCCCTCACTTGGCGAGTTTCGAATGTCTTTTAGTCTATTACACTCGCTCACCGTGCACGATGAGCGTTACCCTCAGGCCGTTAGCTCTCACTTGTATATCATCGCGCAAACTTTCGCAACCGTAGCGTGTCGAAATCGCTCCGCCCTGAACACTCGGCCGTGGAAAGCGCCGTGGCAACGTGGGAACTGTACGACGTTCGGAATGATACTGGTGCGAAGTGCGTGGCACGAGCGCCGTTCGGACTGAACTCACACCGACTCACGACTGGCGACTGAGTCACAGGGCCGCCCGTTCACCCATTGCTCACTTCGCACCATATATATTATTACGTACTTATAACGTAAACGAGAAACGTGTTTGTATCATATTTCCCCCTGTCTGTATGTAGGAAGTCCTCCTAACAATTCGTATTAAAATGGATTTTCTGAAATAAACACTTTAGTATTATAGTGTAAATTAAAACCAGCCAAGTGTGAGTCGGTTTCTAGCGTAATGAGTTCCTTTGCGCGGCATTATTCTAAATATTATTTATTTTGTTCTAAAATCCAATATAATAGATATATTGTAGTTTTAGTGACTGCACAATAAATAATAAGGTCAATTCTAATAATGATTCATGACACAAGGCCAACAGAGTTACAGCACCGGTTTTAGTAATAGTCTCTTTAGATACAGATCCCTAAAATGGAAAGATATATGACGTAATTGTGAGATTTATTTAATTGTACATTGTTATATAATTTACATTTGAGTTGTGTTCACTTTAGGCACCGTTCGAAGTATGATGTTCCGACATAACCACCACGCATGGCTCTCTGGACGTGCTGTTCAAACAGTCTTCTGTTACTCTGCAACTCATCGGCTGCTTCCTTATTGAGTGGGTCTTCAGGATTTGGTTCCTAAAATCACATATTATAAAGTAATGTCTTAGATATATATATTAGTTTTTAACAACTGTTAGAAAAAATGACAGATATTGAATTTAATGGAGTGATTTTTTTTTATGTTTGGCAATAAGAATTTATATAGAATGTGAAATCTGCCATGTTCTACTGACAAACAGTTAAACAACAAAGGTCTTGTTTTCAACAAAATTAAATGTAGGTACTTCTGTGACATGATAGTTTGGATAGAAAGGTGGGCTGGCATTTATATGATTATTAAACTATATTGGAATGTGTATATTCCGAAAAATCGAATATTAAAGTTAAGGGAGCATGATCAACTTACCAAAAATAAATATTGTAATCCATAGACTATAGAATTAACAGTGAGCACTGGCTTCCAGTCTTCTCTGAGTATATTAAGGCAGACATTGCCCTCTAAATCTATATTAGGGTGATATACTGAGGTCTCACACTTCACTTTTGGTGGTTCATGGGGATAATTTGGTCCTACCTTAAATTAATACATACTTTAAAAAATACTACCAATAAATTAATAAATCTTTTAAATATATATTGTTGGTACAGATAGTATACATCTAGAAGCTACCAAACATATACTGTTTATGTGGTGTTACTAGTAACTATTTACTGCAGTCAATATATTAAATATAATAATGCAACTTATTAGTTAAAGATGCTGAATTTTATTGGGTATAAGGAATTCATAGTACATACCTTAAAACTAAATACAAAACGTCCTCCCCTATAAAACCCTTCATCAGGGCAGATTATTAGTTTAAAGTTGAGTAAATCATCAGGATCGGGAAACTCTGTAGTACAGGTCTTGGGTAAATTTAATTCATTTAGATCTGAAAATACAGCAGTTAAAAGTGAGTACATAGGTTTCCGCATTTAACCACAATTTATTATGCGTAGATTAATTACAAATGTGAAGATGATTCGTTAGCGTTTTTCATGGCTATTAACCATTAAAAAATCAATTTCAGAAAAATAAAGTAGTCGCATCCAAGATGTTGAGTACCTTTTGTAATCCGTAACTGTGCCGCTGATGCTTTCTTTTGTGATCCACCTGCTCGTGTCGACCCCTCCTCATCCTTTTTTTGCTGTTTTAAAGAAAATAATTTAATCATCGTCTTTTAACTTGAATATAAATATTTATGTACACGAAAACTATTATAATTTTATCACAATAATAAAATACATAGATATATTTGACAATACGATTGACATAACAACTGGACAGATAAGTCGTAAATAACATGACAATTGACAAATAGTAACCATCTTCCTGCTGCTATAGACAAAGTCAATATCGACACAATTTATAGTGTATTTTTTCTAACTTGGCAAAAGACAAAAACAAATATGGTCGATATCAAACCATATAGAGCTAGTGAAGACCTTTATAGAATGTAGTCGTTTAATAAGATAATTAAAATCCATTATGTATGGACTAAACAACCTCAATATTTAAAATCAATTTAATTAATTATTTTTTTAATGTATGTCATTATTATTTAACTCAACTTTTGTGACGCTTCTCAGGGGTCGTGCATGAGTGGGAATTTTACCTTCTAACGTTTGTTTAATTTTAACGTACGCTTATCTTTATTCAAATATTAAACTGTCAAATCTATTATTAGGATTTTTATTAATTTTAGCATAAAATTGTGGTTTTTACTTAGTGAATTGGAATCAGTCCGTCCATCATATATTTTAATATATAATTCACTGTGTTTTTAGTGTGAACTTATGAAAACTTTGTGAGAAAATCTCGATTTCATGAATTTTGTGTAATAACTTACCAAAAAGGCCAAGTAAAAAAAAAACACTATAGTATAAGGATAGCCGCAGTGTCGTAGGCTGAAAAATGTTATTTATCTTCTGTCAAAATTTATATGTCAATGTCAAAAAAAGGAGGTAAATTCAGTTTCTGTAACATTTTATTATGTATCGTAGCATTGTTGTCGTTTCATTTTATTAGTACATTTAATAGATGTACTCGCAAATATTTTAAATATTTCAACGGATTAATAAGTTTAAAAGGTTTTTCTAGTTAACTTAAAAATGTCTTCTGACGATGTTATTGAGTTGGGATCATCAGACGAGGAAACTCGGCCACCTCCGAAAAAGGTATTCATATGTATATTAAGTCTGTTTTATATACATATTATAAATATTTTGTCATGTAAATTATATTATGAAAACTAATTAGATTGTCATTAATACGATAAATCTCTTTATTGGTATTAAGCAAACATCTTAATACAACTTGTTTATCATTTCAGAAGCAAACAATTCCAAATGCTATGGTACGATTCCCGAATCTTAACACTAAGCTACCAGGTGTCAATCTGGGGAATCTAAAAGTACAAATAGCAAGCAGAGCTGTCACATTAAATAAAGTTAAGTCTAACCTACAAAAAACACCAAAGACTAATCAGAGAACTGGCCCAAAAGTGCCCTTACTTATGAGTTGTAGAAAAAGTGTTATTGTAAAAAAGGTTCCAAGCAATCCTAGCAACTTACCTGTATTAAACAAGTCTAGTGGTTCCAAATTATTAAAGAATTTGCCCCCAAGCATTACAATAAAACGAACAAGCAATTCTTTGCATAATAATGTAATTCCACCCTTAAAAAAGATAAGGATAGAAAAGAGACCAGTAAAGACAGGTCCAATTGTTGAAATAGACATAGAACCATCAGAGACAACACAAACCCTGCCACTATGGTATAAAAGGCCTGAAGAGCAAGATCTTGATAGTAGTACTAAATTGGAACCTTGTAAATTGCAGCCTCATACTATAAAACAACAAAACAATACAGAGCCTAGTAAGTTTATAGAGATAGTTATTGAAGATAGTCCCGTAAAACCTCAACCTAGTTTTCAGGATAAATTCATAACCATTGATGATAGTCCAGTTAAAGCATCTGAATCAGCTTCAAATAAGGAAGTAGATAAGAAGAGTAAGAAGATGCTTGCATACCCTAATGTTAAAGTAGCACAAGATGGAATGATTGAAATTGAAATTGACTCTATAGATCCTATCGTTCCTTGTCAAGATGAAAAAAATGCTGTAGCTAAAACTGGAAAGCCATCATCACAAAATCAGAAAAAAGAAGATACAGTTGCTGTGATTGAAAAAGATGCAGTAACACCACAAGATAATAAAAAGTCAGAGGATATTACTAATGACATGGTACACCAAAGTAAGGAAGAGTTTAATGCTATCTATCAAAAGTTTATTGAAACTTGTTTTCGTATTGAGAACTCGAGTGATATGCAAAAGATTGTCGCAAACAAAATTAAACCATACTACAAACAATGCCCACCAGAATATGTGAACTCTGAGGAATTCCAAGATTTAGTTTCTGCAAAGACTATGGCAATTGAAAATACACCAACACATATGTATTATTACATCCGAAATGTTGTTGATGAATTAAAAACGCAGAAAAAAATGGCAAAGGCAGCTTTAGTAAAGAATAACGAAAACAAAGGTACAGACATTAAATAAAATTTTAATACTCTAGTTTTTACAATGACTGATACAATTATATTAATGTGAAGCAATACAATAGCTTATAATATTCTTTTTTAATCTAATAGTCATGATGTGCATGTAAATGTTTCTGAGGTAAACACACACACAGGCACATAAGTCAATAAGATAAAAGGAAAAATAGTTTTAAATATAATTCAGGCAAATTAAGAGAATTTGTTCCATTGTATCCCAGCTTAGACATATTCTTATAAATTATTGAATAAATGTGTAAAAAAAAATATTTTTTTATCTGGGTTAATAGCAGTTGTGTATTCAGCTGGTTACTTAGTAAATAATAGAGAATGTGGTTTAATATTCCAAGTAGTATTCAAACATATATGATTTATATTTTTAAGAGTACCAATATCTGAAATTAATTTGAAATTACAATACATTTGAAATTGAATCAAGATTTTTTCTTAGTGTGAAAGCCCGTTTCCCCTCGTGGGGCATGGGTCGAACACATTTCTGTGTTCGCTTCACTGATCTGTTCTTTTTAACAGGCAAGTAGTTGATCAGACTACTGTGCCCTACCCGACCGAAACACTTTTTTTGTTCCCCTGAGATTCGAACCGAGGACCTCTCGCGCTTAACGCAATGCTAGGCAATACGTTTAACCATGTGGCTACAGAGCAGACGATTTTTTTCTTTATCTAATTAGAAATCTGTTACATCTAGCTAAATCTATAAATGTATATTTAGTATTATTAATTGTTTTCCTTACAGATAATGTAGATGAATTGCTTGATACAAGTGGTTATGATGAGAAGCGTCAACGGCAGATTCGGAAACTCGATAAGACATTAAAGAAATTGCATAGAGCTATTCAGAAGCTAGAAGAAAAGGAAGTTGATTTTGATGATGAGGATGATTCAGTATATTTGCTGACAGAAAGGTAACCTAAGTAAAGAATTCATGGACATTTTATATATTTAACATTTACATATATAAATAAAACAATGTTAACGGTTTAAAAACGCCAATATATATACTAAAATGCCCTCTATGACCTCAGCTGCAAAGCATTTAAAACGTGGCTTAGTAAAGTTTGCTATTATATTTCGCGTTTTGAACCGGAAAACCTTTTTTATTTGCACAAACATATCATTAATAACATCAATTTAGTACCAGTAAACCAATTATTTATTATATATGTTCAAGTACAAAACATATATAGCACAAACATCAATTAAGTGTTTATAGGTGTAAAAATTAGCTTTATATTTATAATAGTTAAAGATAAATTGACAAATATAAACATGCTACCAGTACTTGCACAAACAACAGAGTAGATATGTACTCTAAATTAAACTATATAAAAAATTCTACTTCCAGGTACAAGGACAGAATACTTCGTGTACATGCAAAATTTTGCCAATTAACAAATACTAAAATGCCATCAGAGCCTTTTATTAAACTTGACTGTCAAGCTGGTCGCTCCCCTGGTCCAGTGAAGAAATTGGAAAAATGGATCAACAAAAAAGTACCGTTAGGACAGCCGCGTCCATTTCCAGATTTTCATGACGTATTACGCTGTGTGAAAGAAGCAAACGAAGAAGACAATCTTGGACTGAGTGAAATGGAAATGCTAGATGAAGGTATTCCTTGAAAATTAATCTAAACTTATATAAAAATTTCATTTAATTACATTCAAGTTTGTCATACATTCTTTACACGAGCTTAAGCTTTGCTTCCAACAATAAATCAGTATACAAGGACACTGCCAGGAAATTATTTGTTTGTCTGAGGTCTTTAAAAAAATTGTTAAATGAACGCGTATCCATAAATTATTTGACACAATATATTTAATTTGTAAAGTTTAATAGGAACAATATTTCATAAAGTTACCACGCTAATGAGTATATTTAACGTTTCAGCGCGGCAATTGTTCACAATGTGTGGAAAGAAATTACAGAGAAGGAGACAGGATAATGATTGGAGAATAGCGGCGTCGCGTTTATCCGTGAACGTAGACCCGGCGGAATCGGATCAGGATCTCAGACGAAAATTGGAAGAAAATAAATTAATCGCCAGTCAGAAGGAAGCAGACATCTTTAAAAAGTAATCACGCTTTCTATTTATTGAGTTTATGTATTTGTATTTACATTAGTCAATTTTATAACGTTTATTAAATTAGTAATGATGATATAATCAGGTAATTACAAGGAACACACTATTAGGCTAAATAAGCCTAACATATGAAAATGGCGAAAACATAATATAGTCTAACAGTTGTTAAAATAAAACACTTTAACGGTTTAAAACGCGATATATTAGTTAAACTTATGTGAAAATGATTTTTAACTTTGGCCCGACGTTTCGGATGCTTTGCAGCAGCCGTGCTGTGTCTCCCCGTGACCACGCGTTTAAACCGGTGTTTTAATTCAATGTGTACTACTCGCGTAAACTATAGACAGTATCAAAGAATTGTTTTTAGATTAAGATAAATAATCTTGCTATTCTTTTCAGGTACGTTGACAGGCAGAATCAGTTAAATGTAGAATCAAGGGAATTAGATGATAAAGAAACTGAGGAATCACCTGATAACAGTGAAGAAGATGAAGACGAGAAAGTTAATATTATAAAATGTACTAAGGAGAAGAAAGTAACATTTAACAAACTTAATCAAGAAAAATTGGAACAAAATTCCAATAGAGAAGAAGGCAAAAATAATGAAGATCGTGACATAATTCGCAAAGAAAGTAAACCTGTGCAACAAAACGAAGCACAAAAGAACTTAGAAAATGGAATGGATTGTGAATCTGACGCTGATCCAATGCATCTTTTAGAGAGAGTATATTCCGACTCCGATTCGGTTTCACTGATAAGTTTGAGTGATTCTGACAACAATATTGAAACACAAAAGGATACGGCTATTGATGTCATTAGCATTGAGGATTCGAGTTATTCAGAATCTGAAATCGAACAACGGGAAACAGTTGAAAGTGGTGAAATAGAAGTTAAAGCTTTCAGCTACGTATCAGATGCGGTTGTGGTAGGCAATCATGTATCTCCCACAATACCACTAACAAAAGAAATACAAAAAATTTTAGATTCCGAGAAATATTCAAGCACAACTATAAATGACAAAGCTATTGAAGCGACTGTCCAAGCTGTAGTTAATAATAAATGTAATGACGATATGCTATCAATGAAATCATCAGACATAGTCGGAGAAATGTCAAATGATAATTTAACTGATAAAATTGGAAATGAAAATGATAAAAATACCAACAATATAAGTAACAAGAACGTGTTGTCCATCGTTGAAGTAGACGAGAAATCAGATGGGCTTAATGACAATCTATTTAAAAATAATAAATGTGCTGCTAGCAATAATCCAAATGAAAGTATAGAAGTTCCCACGAGAACTGAGGGAATTCAGCCTAGAGAAAATATTGAAGAAACCAATGAACAACGTTTTCTCGTCTCTGACGACGAAAGTAGAGGTTGTGTCAATATTGCAGACGACAATATTTCCATTACCGACACTTTCTACGATCCTAAATTATTGAATCCATCTGATAACGATAGATCAATAGAAGCAAGTTCTCTAATTGTTACTTCAAGCGATCAAGGAGTTAACACTGATTCAAACATTGATACACTTAAAGACAATAACGATAGACAAGTTACAGATCAAAAATTATCTGACGAAATTAATGATTCTCCTATTCAAATCATTAGCATACGTAGTAATGGAAATGAATTCTTAAATGTTGATTTAAGTAAAAATGTTGAATCTGAAAATACCAATATTGAAAATGTTCCCACTAATAGCGACACACCGGTAACGAGTCATACAAGTTAAGCAATCATAAAGTACTGATTAACTGAAGTTATCCTTAATTTAATATGAATTTAAATTAAGGTGATGTAAATTATATACTAGATTGTTAAGTTTTATATTGCATATTTTACCGACTGTAAAAGATATGCTTAATAAATTAAATGCGTAATTGTTGCCTTTTAATTTCTGCAACCAAATTAGGTACATTTATGATAGGCTCGTTATTATTTTAACCATTAGACTAGTGATTAAAATAATGTCGGCAATAGGTTTTGTACGCGAGGGATAATTTACCGTGAAAACGTCTCTCCAATGCTTTTGTATATGTTTATGTACCCACTTCTAATAGTTTAATATAGTATAAATTTCATTAAATGCCTCTTCATGTGTTAATAATACTGTTCATCTTTTTTTTTCTTCAGATAAACAATAGCAACGAGGCTTTTTGTTATTTTGACTTCATGACATCCAGTCGCTGTTTATTTCAACTACGAAAATATACTAATACCTATTCTAAGATCTTGATATTCAATAAAACTCACATTCGTAACAACACTATATTTACAAAGGTCCAAAGGTCTATGTACACAAAATGTCTGCCTTATTTACAAAAAAATCTACGTAAAACATATCGGTCCGGGGATAAAAGAGAAGTCATGTTGAGCATCTAGAAACGAAATTGGCTGAAAATCGGTTATGGGCAACCGGTCAGTGCGCGACGTTTTAATCTCCAACACAATTTCCCCTGTACCTTCCTGAAAAAAATTCTTGTCATTAAACAGTTTCATTCATTTATCTTTTATAAGATTTCTTCAGACTATAACTACGAGAAATGATTTTTGTTGCTTTCATTGCATCGCTAGGTCAATCATGATTTTGTTTGAAACTTTATATTTTCTCTTGCATTGCGATTGCTTATATAAAGTAAAATTCAATTTTAGATTAAACAAAAAATTACGACATAGGACTTGAATGAGCATCCACAACGTTCCGTGTATATAATGCCATCAATAACATGTAAACATATTGTTTTCAAATGATTTTAGATTTAAAAAAAAATACGACACGGGCACGACTTGACCCGGCATCCACAGCGACGATGACAGTAAGACAAGACGACGACGACAAATCCTGCATACATTTTTTTTTACTGTATATGATTTTCCCAAATAAACATTAGGACATCTTACCAGACAACTGTCCTTCACAACTTGTGGCCGAAATTCAAAGGAGCTTTGACCGAACAATTTAATATTTGATCGTATTAAATCGGCGGGTATATCAGATCTGAAAGTACGACATATAATTAAAAGTTTGAAAGGATTAAAAGAAAAAAGGGAGTATAATTATTATTTATAAAAACTCAACGCTGTGCCTACTTATAAGTTAGGTACATAAGATTATTACTATAATTAGCTTAAGTAGTTTAAAACATGTCTGTGTACCTAGTTAGGAAGCCTTAATAAATAAATAATAAATAAAATCACTGTTTAAAGTAACAATATAATACGCGGTTGCTTAAAGCAGAATAAATTCGCCGATTGACCTTAACTTCCATAATTTTTTTTGTGTTGTTTTGTTTCTTGTTTTGTGACAATAAAGAATATTTGTATTTGTACCCGAAAACAGATGTGCTAAAATAACGAAGTTAAAAAAAATGTACCTTTGAGGGATCTTAGTATTAACACACTGATAGGTAAAACTCTGTCGCGCCCCACGGGACAGCAACCGAAGGAATCTCAATTGTATCATCCCTGATTTTTCCGCTTCGTATGTTATCTAAAATTAATACAACAAGTTAAAATATTTATGATTATTCCTTTTTATCTCTTTATCCCTCTTTTGTTTACACGTTAGACCGAGCACGGATCCAGTGCCCGGTGCGCTTTAAAGACACAGGACAGGTGATCGAGAACCGCCTGGATGGCATGTCTACTCCTGAACTTAGGGCTGGTCCTAGCTTATCTCAAAAAAACCAAAGAAAGATTTGAACCTTGCACCACGACACCTGCAAACGAATCTACTAACCGCTAGACGGGAGCAATATAATATGATAATAAGAATAGTACCTTGAACCCGTCGGTAATACTTGAAAAGCGTTGCCCGTTTTCTTTGTAAATGGTTGATGGGTCTACGTTGTCTGGATAAATGCAAGTGCTGTGGCCCTTACAGTAAACACGTATTGGACTCGCGTTTCCACCTCGTGCATCTATCCAGTAGTATCCTGCAACAATCCAATATTTAATGATAATGAACCTTTCACCAATGCTTTTGTAGAATAAAAAAAAAATTACCCACCACGGTAAAAATCGAATCTTTAAATTATTATTTTTTTTCGCTGGTAAAAAAAACTTTGAGATGAGCATGTACTTGCAGACAAACAGAAAAGATATTTTCTATTCTGTCCATCTTTTTATCACAAACGTGTTTATTAATTTAACGCGATAATAAAAATAATGCTTAATTTATTTTATTAAACACACACTTTAAAATAAAACACTTTTAACGAGTTTAAAATGCGGAATATACATTGTTAATACTAATAAACGTTTCTTTAATCTCTATTAAAAATTTCTCATTATAAGCGCTACACTAAAATTAATAGTATTGAGGCTTTTTCACCGTCAGTATAATTTGTGTGAGAAATTTTTAGATCTCGACACGAAAGAGCTGGATTCGCCCTGGATCCCGAAGGTCGCTTTGAAGTCTCCAACGTGGATGTTGCCGTCAGCAAACCTGTCATTACGTGACGAACCCAATCTATTTCTTCATAATCTATAAACATTAAAATATATTATGTAATTCCAAGAAATATGTTCTCCAAATAATATTTGAAATAAGTCTTGGTATCACCAATCATACCTTCTTCATTAGTTTCGTCAGTTGTAGCTTCAAATGTGTCAAAGTCGATACTTCTACGGCGTCTCTTAGGCATGAATAGTTCAGCTGGTAATGTCGGCATGGGCGCAGGTGGTCCGGGTGGGCCCGGAGGACCTGGAGGTCCCGGGAGCCCAATCCTTCCTTCTGGTCCTGGGGAACCTTTCAAACCTAAGGGGCCCTCCAAACCAGGTTCACCCCCTGGACCCATGTCACCTTTGACTCCAGGAGGCCCAATTTGACCCTTAAAACGTAATGAAAAGGCAATCCTATTATCCTTCAAATAGTAACATTTTTTTAATTTGCGTTATTGCACATTCATGCCAGTTATAAATTAAAAATATTAGATGTTGAGAATCATAATAATTTTAACTGTTTTAATTGCGGTCAATATATAGTAGATAGTTACTGTATAAAAATACTGTATTGTAATTTACCATGTCTCCTTTTGGCCCTGCTACACCTGGTAATCCTGGCGGACCCTGTTTTCCAGCCTCACCCTGATCACCCTTTATTCCGATTGGTCCTGTATCACCAATATGGCCTTTAGGTCCTCTGTCGCCTTTATCTCCTTTGATTCCTTGAGAACCGATAGCACCATTTTGTCCAGGGGGACCGATTGCACCAGGCATTCCTGGAGCTCCTACATCTCCCTGAAATGAAGATCGAGATAAAAAAGGAGTAAGTAAATAGGATTGTATAACTTGAATATGCGGTCTTTCAAATAAAGCATATGATTTAAATTACCGGAGGACCAGGCAATCCTCTTACTCCTCGTTGGCCTTCTATTCCAATAGGTCCAGGTGGTCCAATAGGCCCTGCTTCGCCGGGAGCACCTTTTGGTCCTGAGTCTCCCTTTTCTCCCGCTATTCCAGGATTCCCCTGGGCACCTGCTGCTCCTTCGGTACCCTATTTTATAAAGAGTTAGTTTCTACAGATCTTAAATCAGAAGTATAGAAGTATAATAACATCAGTAAAAATAAGTATAATCGCTATTTCACTGATACTCACAGGATTACCCGGAATGCCATTTTCACCTGGTTTTCCAATTGGTCCCGGCGGTCCAATAGGGCCTTGTGAACCAGAACTACCTTCTGGGCCATCTGTACCAGGTTCTCCTTTAATACCTTGCGGCCCAGGCTCACCTCTTTCTCCAGGATAACCTGATGGACCAATATCGCCCTTGAATCCTTCTGGGCCTATGGGGCCTTTAGGGCCTGTTTCACCTCGTAAACCGGTAGGCCCTTCATCTCCTTTTAGACCTACAGGTCCTTGTTTACCCTAAGAAAAGGAATTTAACGTAAATTTAAAAAAAACGTTAATATTATTGGTTCACATAAATACATAATATGATCTGATTTATATAACTTACAACTTTTCCTTCTGGTCCTTGAAGGCCGGGAGGGCCCGGGATACCTGGACTTCCTGTTTCACCAGCTTGTCCTTCAGCACCCCGAGGGCCCATTTCTCCTTGAATTCCTTTCTGTCCACGCCTTCCAGGAGGTCCAGTAATGCCTATGGCACCCGGAGGCCCTGTAAGCAATAATATACAATACTTAGTGAATTGTCATATCGTTTTTCATTTACTTCTTATATATAAATCAATTTAAATTTGTTTGTATGTAAAGAAGGTTACCAGTTGATCCAACATCTCCTATATCTCCTTTTACACCTTGATCACCCTTTATCCCTTCTGGTCCTGTTTTTCCGATGGAACCTGGCAATCCACGTACTCCATCAGTTCCAGGTATACCAGGCGGGCCTGGTTCTCCGGGTGGCCCCTTTTCTCCTGGTAAACCTACAGAACCCATCTCACCACGTACTCCTTGACTACCTGGTGATCCCGGTGGGCCCTGCAATTGTATTTTTTTATTTAAAATTAAACAAGTAATAGCCTTTGTAAAACTAGAACCTAATTAAAAAGTACCTTTTTACAACGAACAATAATTTTGAAATACCAGTTGAGTACCAGCTGATTGAATTGTACAGTTAAAGTTTTTAGGTTTAAGTACCAAGTCAGATATTACGAATCGTTTAACACAGTGTTTATTTAATTGTTTCCAGTAGCTATTCGTCAGTGTGGAACAAACAAAAGAAACAAACATCGACGGAAAAAATATATTATATTCGTACTCACGTATTAATATTAAATTTTTTCGTTATTTTAAATGATTTACTTACTGTCTCGCCCATAGCACCCTTGAACCCCTTTTCTCCCGGTGGCCCAGCTTCACCCTTATCCCCATCTTCCCCAGGAGGTCCGACAGGTCCAGGAGCCCCTGCAAGTCCTCTCGGACCTATTAAGCCATCTCTTCCTACTGGACCTATTTTGCAACAGAGATTAGGCGACATTAATAATTATATTAAAAATCGGTAATAGCACTATCCTAGTTTGAATCCAAGTAAATAAATGACTATAATACTGTCTTAGTTTGCGAATGCCATTTAAATAAAACTTTAATTGAAGACGTGATTATTATTATAAATACTATGATATATGAAGACGTTCAAATTGATAAATTATATTATACCTATGAGGCCTGGTTCACCAATTTCTCCTTTTTGACCACCAGGTCCTGGTGAACCTCGCGGTCCTTCACGGCCTATTGGTCCCTGTGGACCTTCAAGACCGGTTTCTCCCTGTTCACCTTTATCTCCTCGTACTCCTGGCAGCCCAATTGGACCGAGGTCTCCCTTTTTGACCGGGTGTACCCTATTATTATTATATTTTAATGAATATATCCCTTTTTACCCCTCAAGAAATCGAACTACTCTACGAAGATTTATACTTACAGGATTACCAGGTAAACCAGGCTCTCCGTTTTGGCCTGGAAGCCCTAGTGGTCCTACAGGGCCGATTTTTCCTTCTGGACCAACAGGTCCAGGTGGCCCTTCCTTACCCATTTCACCAGCTGCACCCATTTCTCCAGGTGTCCCAGCAATGCCTGAAGGACCTTGAGGTCCCGGTGGACCGAGATCACCATTTTGACCTTGGGGTCCCATTATACCTGGTGGCCCCGGAAGACCCGGGGCACCTGTATCGCCCTATAGCAGTCAAAAATTTAGTAAGTACATTTGGAATATAACTATATATTAAAATATAAAAAAATAAATATAAATTACAGATGGTCCTCGTTCGCCCGGTAACCCAGGTAAGCCAGTTTTTCCATCAAAACCTGGAGGGCCAATCGCCCCCGGAAATCCTCTTGGACCTTCAATTCCTTGCGGTCCCGTTTCACCAGTTGAACCGGGTGGACCTGGCTGGCCGGTATCGCCTTTGGGACCGGGTGGTCCATCTGAACCTCTTCTACCTCGTGATCCTCTGTAGCCCTAAAAAATGATAAAAGGATGCAATTGTATAAAATGTTGGCATCATCGGTTTTGAGTTATGTTTTCCTAAGTATTTACCCTTGGTCCACCTTCTCCGCGGTCTCCGGGATGTCCTACCGGGCCCTGAAATTATAATAATTAGTTTAAATTGGTTTCATACAAGCCTAAATATATTTGTCGTATAATAATAATTAGAATCTTACAGCCACTCCTTTTGTGCCTCTTCTACCTCGCCTGCCAGAGGCGCCTTTGTCTCCTTTTTCACCTGGGGTACCCGGATAACCCAGCGGGCCTTGTGGTCCCGTAGCCCCCTTTTCACCAAAAGGGCCCATAGTTCCAGTTTCTCCTCTAGGTCCTTCAATTCCCTAAACGATTTAAGTTGTTATTTTACAGATTGAATAAAACACGTAATATACACAAAAATACATACTTTTTGCCCTTCAGGACCCTCAATGCCGGGGGATCCAGGTTCACCCGCAATACCTCTTTCTCCTTTTGGTCCCATTTCACCTTTTTCTCCATCGATGCCTGGTACATATATGAGTAGAATTTAGGTTAAACGTGTAAGTTTCTAGACCAAAATTTTTATATGTACTCTATTTACCTCTCATCCCTTTATCACCCTTATCTCCGGGAAGGCCGCGAGGACCATCGTCACCTTTCAGGCCACGTGGACCAGGAAATCCTAGCATACCCTGTTTCATAAAGATCAGATAATAATAAAATATATTAAGATTCCGAAAACCTGTAAATAATGTTTTTACCTGTGGTCCTGCTGGCCCCGCTTCGCCTGAAGTACCCTGTTGGCCAGGATTGCCTGGTGTACCTGGAGAACCTTCTGGTCCGGGGAGACCTGATATGCCCGGTTTTCCCTGGGGGCCCTGTACGCATTTGCCATTTACATAATACATTTTTGCTTTTGTCATATTTTCTTGATAACTTTATTACTTTATTTTACCATTTGCGCAATCTTACCAATAGGATTTAAAATCTTCTATTACGGACGAATGTACTGATGGTTAAACAGCTAAATTATTTTTAGACATTTTATTTTAAATGGTAAAAAAAGTAAATATACCAACTTGAATGCCCGGAGAACCCATCGGACCCTGCGGTCCTGGGGCACCAGCTGGGCCCATTAAACCAGGCTGTCCTTGCGAGCCAGGGGGGCCTGGTTGACCCGCTGCTCCTTTGGTTCCCTGAGGACCTTCAATGCCTGGTACGCCTGGGTAACCAATAAGCCCAGGATAGCCCCGCGGTCCCATAAACCCTCTAGGGCCCTTGAGAACACAATAATGATGACTTTAAGATTTGTGGCTGGTTATCTACGAAATACGAATCCATATCTGGTACTGGTAAGGGCAAGCTGTAATAAGCCTATGTGGTACCTAATTTTATTTCATAAATAACAATAAAAAGTTTTATTACAAAATGAAATAACTTTTAATAATTTTTCATTTACCATCTCTCCTACTAGCCCCGGTAATCCAGGCGGACCATCATCTCCCTGGGGTCCATCCAAGCCTGGTGAACCTGTTTCTCCCTGCAATCCTGCTGCACCGCTTTCGCCTTTGTCACCAGGTACACCCATAGGACCTGGGTAACCCTGATCTCCCTTCACCCCAGCAGGCCCTGGCAAGCCCCTTTCACCATCTCGCCCGGTATGCCCGCGTCTACCCAGTCGCCCTGGAGACCCTTGTGGGCCTCGTGGACCTTGCTGACCCTAATAAAAATATATAATACACAGTATAAGTTAATGCGCATAGTATCGCTGTCCCGTTCTATTCCGAACTACCCACGTCGTCATACACATACAAATGTCAAAACAATCTATTTAATAAAATAAGTAGCAAAAAGCATGACGTTAAAAAATTAATATATACTCTTAATAGGATAAATCAATCTAATATCTCTTAAATAAAAAAGTGTAGAGACTACTTACAGGCTCTCCTTGCTCCCCTTGTTCTCCTTTTGGTCCTTCGGGGCCAATTTCACCCTCAGGTCCCGTCGGGCCTGTAAGTCCCATCGGTCCTTCTGCGCCACGCATCGCTGCCTACGTTTAACATTTTTAAGTTAAATACAATAATTTTACGTTTATATATTTTCAAATCGAAGTAGCCACCACCACCACCACTTACCATGTGCTGAGTAAGAATTTGCCGTAGTGCTTCGGATTGTGCACTAGGTCCTTTTTCATTTTCGGCCTGTTGCAACTGAAATTTTCCGAATAGGTATTAAATATTAGTATTTTTAAGTATTAACTGTACTTTCGTTTACATTTAGACATACATTTGGTTTAAAACACTTTAATAAAACCTAGTAAACTTATTTGAAAATGATTTTAACTTCGGCCCGACGTTTCGGATGCTTTTAACAACGCGGTATACCTTAGTTAAAATCATTTAAATAAGTTCACTAATTACGATTTAACCGTTAAAGTGTTTTATTTAAATGTGTACTACTCGCGTAAACTATAGACATACATTTGTTGTTTATTTAAAATGGTAGTACAACTCCTAGATGGCATGTATAAAAACTTAAAATCTATACTAATGTAGCTGAAGAGCTTGTTTGTTTGTATGTTTGAACGCGTTAATCTCAGGAACTACGGGTTCGAATTGAAGCAAAAGTAAAGTAAGTTTCAAAATCCTATGTGATTAGCGTTATAATTTTTAGTGTGAGAAATAACTAGCTTTTGTCCTCTATGTGAAATAATGAATTTCGACAGCTTGTTAATTTTGTAAGGGTAATTATTTTTCAAACTAAACAATTAAGTTTAACACTACTAGATAGACTTTTAAGCAGTTAATATGGTTTTAAATTTGTATAAGAATTCGCATATCCAAGGAACGTACTACATCTGATGACGTCATCAGACTCCTGACTGATAAACGTCGACAAGTTTATCATTGTCTTTCGCGCTGTTTGGCCGATGTGAGCGAGAAGAGATTCTCGACGTTTCGTCATCACGTGTGGACGGCATCATCAGGAGATGTTGACTCCTCGATTGGTCGAAGAATTATGAGTTGTCCGCCGCGGTCTCAGATTATATAAACCCTGACAAGCGAACACACATCGGCCGAACAGCCCGAAAGACAATGATATGCTGAACGATGGCCGTGAAAGCCTTACACAATTTATTTTTGTCGACTAGTTTATCTATTACGGCAGCCAAACAAGTCGAACAACCAAAAAACACGTTCTAAGTGACACATAGAATAATATAGATAATGTATTTTTATAAGAAGTATTCAATACTTACAGGCACTACAAATACATGTCCCGGTGATCCGGGAAAACCTTGTTGCCCTTCTAAGCCATGTTTACCCGGTTCCCCTTTAGGGCCCCGGGGACCTTGGGGCCCAGGGGGGCCTGGATAACCCCGAGGGCCCAAATACGAGCCTGAGTTACCATAGTCGTAGTAGCTATCGGAAGAATCGTCGGTGGAAGTATTGCCCTAAAAATATTAATTATGATTTATGTTGTACAAACAAACATTGATGAGTAAATAAAAAAATGTATTGAAATACAGTAGGTTTAAGTAACATTCTTGAAATTGTGAAGAAAGTTGACATACGTATTTTCGTTATGTTTGTTCGTCAATGCATAATCATCTTTACGGCCATACAAAAATGTCCACTTTAACGTCCAGTCAACTTTAGTCAGTATTATGGTATATTAGTGAAGTTGGCTACAATTCATAGATTCTTCTACGCTTTTTAAAAATTGTCTTATTAGATATTTAAATAAAACCGTATTAACGGTTTCAAATTCGTAGCTTAACCAAAGCCTTAACTAATATACTTCGCGCTTTAAACATGTTTATACCTCCTGTTGTTTACTTATAATTGGAAATCAGAAGTTAAGTGGTAAAATTTCTTAACTTACTCCTACTCCGAAATCTGGAGGATGCGTAAGCCAATCTGAATCTTCAGTCGTAGTTATAGGGATGAAAGGTGCCTCGGTAGTTAGAACTGTTGATATTCTTGCTTCACCTTCATTTTGTGTAGGCTAAAATTTAAGTATCCAGTAGAGACTAATTATCAATAATATTATCAATACGCGAGATTGTTCTCTTACCTTTTCTGAGTTTACTTCAAGGGCGTTGGGAGGTGATATTTCGATATTACTCGATTGTGTTGTAATGTAATCCTCGATGTCTGTAAATCTGCCAAATATACTGTTTTCATCTGAAAGATTAGGTATTTAATGAAGAGATTTATGTCCTTTAAATGATATATCAAGTTACAAAACAAAACAAAATCAGAGCTGTATAAAAAGCAAACAGGTAATGAAGATTCTATCATGTTCGTATATTCACTGACCACGTACATACACTTCGGTAGCGGTTTGTTTGTTCTTTTTCATACTTTACTTACATCGATATTTCTACCTCGTAACAGCTTGAATCGAAATTTATTTTATATTGCTTTATTTGATTCAATGAATAGTCTATATATTTTTTATTAGTTAACAGAATATAGGTCGAACGTGTTTTAATTTCTCATTTATTAGGTAATGACGATCATTATTTTGGTTCAGATAAAAACATTAAAAGTTCGCATTTCGGCATCGGTTTTAACCACATGTTTGATTTTATGCCGATAATCTATTAATGTTTGATGATTGTCGGTTAACTTACCGTAATCCGTCGAAGGTAAATTAAAACCATAATTTTCGGGATGTTGCCAATACGGTTGCTCTGTTGACAAATCTTGACTAGATACAAAATAACGATCAGGGGAGATTCGGCCGTCATAGAATGTATTTGAATTATTCAGATTGTGCTGGTTTTCGACGGAAGAAAATGTTAAGGAATGGGGCGTCGTGTCGCGAGCCACTATGTTGTTCGACGATATGTGATCAATATTGCTTGCTAATATTTCTGATGGGTTCATTGATGCAGCAATTTCAATGCAATTTGGGGCTATTGTAAGGCACATATCATACGCAAGGTCGGGCTGGTTAGCGAATTGAAGTAGTTCAATGTCTCCCTGTAAGAGATACAATTTAATTTGTTTTACATCATTTTCCTACGAAGGGCCTGGAAGAGATCGCTTAATAGCGATAAGGCCGCCCGTTACTAAATAAAATAAAATGACTTCTATTTGGCCACGAAACACTTCATGATGCAAAAATTGGCGAAAAATAAACAACTGATTGGTTTAAAAAGCGAATTGTATCAGTTAAACTTATTTATAAATTACTTTGACTACGGCCCGACGTTTCGAATGCTTTGCAGCAGCTACGGGGAGACTAACGATGAATGGTGTCCCTAATCTCAAAGTCTCAAAAATCTTCTACGCTAGCGCCATCTGTTACGTCTACAGTAGTTGTAGATATTTAGCGCCATTGGCTGCGTCACCGGGTAACCGTAATGTAGTTAAAATAATTTTGTAAAGTTTAACGCCGCAGTTTGAGCCGTTAAAAGTGTTTTACTTAAAAGTTGTACTCAATGAATCATGAGTGTAGTCCTTTCAATGTAGTACACTACTACATTGAAAGGAGCTAAATTTAATATATATATTGTTGTCAAGCCATGATAATTACCATTATATGGCAAATATGGGAATTATATATACCTCAAAATACTGATCCGGCGTGACCTGTGCACCAACAACTAATACTCCTGCTAAGTTGAAGGTACTACCTGGCTTCCTTGATAGACGAAGTGTACCCTTTATTTCACAGTCTACCAACAGTGTCACAGAATCTCCCTTCACGCTTATAGCTATACGGTGCCATCTGTAAATTGTATTTTACTAAAAACACGTGTTATTATTGTCCCAGCTGAGTTGTACAACATATCAGATATAGTTGCTAGTACTGGGTTCGACACGTGGGGTAACATGTTACATAAGGAATTGATATGAGCTGCTCATACGATTCTGTTAATAAATTAAAATAACAAGTAATTAAATATCAAAACTCTACTAAAGAAAGACTAGATTTCATTAAATCATGGCACTGTATAAATTAAAAATCGATTATATAGATCAATCACGTTTTACATTGTTAAAATATTTTATTTAAATGTGTACGCGAGTGCACGTTAACTACGGACAGTATTCGATTAAAATAAAAGTCGACACGGGCAGGACTTAAACCGGCATTCACAGCGTCCCGTGCTGTTGCTCTAACCATATAAGCTATCTTGTCACCTACCGTAGATATCACTTATTTTAAGCTAAATAATAAACCATCACCAGCGTATTAAAATTAGATTTATTCATTTTTTATTTCTATTACCTGTCATCAGCAATATTAACACGATAGGTAAGGAGCTCGTGGTCGTCTGGTTCTCCTCTTGTGTCTTCGTAATACAGCTCAATCAGCTCCCCCACCACCAGTTGCACTTGTTCATCTCCAGCGTCCGAATACAAGACAAAGAGTGGGTTCTGATCAGTTCCTAAAACAATTTATATCGTCCTCTATAAATAGCTAAGGAACTGAGGCTTTAATTATTTGTATGTAGTTAAAACAAGTTATCCTTGTACTGGGTAAAAATGCGAAATATAGCACTTAAGTTAGTTAGTCCACCCGTGACCACGGTCGTTGCAAAACATCCGAAACGTCGGGCCGAAGTTTAACTAATATATCGCGTTTTAAACCGTTAAAGTGTCACCATACTCAGCTTTAATAAAAAAGTATAAAAACCTTTTTGTTATTTTTACACCTTAGTGACCCAATAAGAAAACCGAAGGTTTTTATAAACAATAATGGCAGCGAGAGGTTCTGGGTTAAGTTTAGAGTTTATTTGTTTTTAAATTATAAATGATAGTGTCATTCGTACGGACTAGCGCTTTGGGAATTATTCGTTTAAAATACCTGCTGTTAATGTGGCATTTGTATCGCTTTCACTCTTAGGAAATAAGCCATTTTTTCCAATAAATGTAAAGGAAAACAAATGGTTATTGTGGGATATACTTAAGAGATAGACATATATCATGGTGGACGTTTTGTTGACCTTTTTAAAGTGTACAAAATTGTAGTACATTATTTTGATTTATCTCGTGAGGTGAAGCTAGAGTTTGCATTGTAAGCGTAAAGGAATGTGTTCATTTATGGTATTACATTAAAAACCTCTTAATTTATTAGCATTTATCTAAAATATTGTTATTATAAGAAACATTATTTCACGAGCTCTTTGCTGTAAGGGTAGCAATGTATGGCTAATAAAATAGGGTTACGTGTTCGATTCCCACCGGGTCAAACTTGTTTCCTTAAATTCATAAATTTTCTGAAACATGTTGGACTTCATCTGGATATGAGGTGGGTGGTTGGAATATCGAATCTATTTTATTAACAGCCCACAGATTTTTTTTACTGATAGGCATGAGAGTTACTTGATGGTAGGTGATAAACCCTGTCGCTGTCGACTTATTTTGACCACAGATGAAAAGCCGTGCAGCTTAATCGCGTTTTGGTTGCAGTCTGTGGATTTCCGAATATCCAAAGCCAAAATAGGACAGCTCTAAGTGGATACGCCATGTTTGAACTTCTATCAAGTGGAATCCATGTTTGTCTTTCCTCCTTTATCATAAAGAAAACATAGCAACTTTTTTGCATCTATATAAATTATATCTATAAAAAACACTTCATACACTCGTTGCATTGTTTTTAATAATTAAACATAGGTAGAGATGGACAGACAATCACAGTCACCTTTTATACTATATAGTGAGATAGTACAAACCTGAAAGTCGTATTACAGCGAGTATAGAGAAGTCTTCAGGGAAGGTATTGTAGAACATGCCAGCCGCGAGCTGATGAAGTGTAGCATTTTCGTTCAGCGAAAACGCGGATAGGTCGATATCTGGTGTCGTTCCTGTCTGACATCGACCAGGAACCCTGGATATTCCATCGGATAGGGCGTCGTTTTCAATTACTGAGAGTACATCGTAAATTTCTAATTCCCCTGCAAAGATTTAATATCGTTTGAAAACATTATATTTTCACATGTTGGCACATGAATTAAAATTCGATCAAATTACAAAAGTCGTACAAGGGTGGGACTTGAACCGACAGCCACGGCGTGCCGTGCTGTTGCTCTAACTCAATTGGTTAGTTTTTTATTATACTATTAAATATCGCCGAATTTTTTGAATACATAAAAAAATTATTATTAGTTACTAGGTACACAAGGTAATGCGCATGTAATTTATAAAATAAACAGACATATAATTGTGTTTGTCTCATGGCCTACAGACAGAGACAGGATTTACCTAATAAGACTTTATTTTGCAACTATCGTAGATTCGAATCGCGCCTGTGCATGTACTAATTTAAGCAATATTTTATTTATGTAGAACACATTCCATCGGTTTTAAACACCGTTATAGTTTTGAAACAGAACAGAACATAGTTAAAAATTCCAATTTTAAACGGTTTAAATGTCATTCATAAACTATAGATTATATGTTATGAAGCAAAAAGGACATATGTAAAAGCGACAGTAAAAAACAATATCTCGTTCAATAATTATAAGTAAGAACAACTCACCGTCCCCTTTCGTTCCCGTAAGGGCGTAAAACAATAACAGTAGCAGTCCTCTCATTTGTAGAGCCATTGCGGCTCGAATAAATTAAGAAGGGAGACGTTATTTACGGAAGATCCCATCCCGCTCCATAGAGGCTACACAAGGATGTAGGTTATGCGACTGTCCTATGGAGACATGTCGTTGCACCCTCGCCAAAGATGATACTGATATCTCAGTCACTCCACTTAAGCAAATTGCTTCTCTATTAAAATTCCAACTGTTTTGGTGTCGAAACAATGAATATCAATTACTATTGGGAGATGTATAATTCGTTCTACGAATCTATTTAAGGTTTCAATTCACAATTCTAGTCAACGACTTCTTTCACAACTGAAAGTTTGTAAAAGTTTTCTTATGCAAATTTCGGTGTAAACATCTTTAATTTATTACATCAACAATATTAATATTACTAAGGATAAGGATATTAGCAAACAATAATACGCAAGTACACAATTTAAATAAAACTTTTTAAAAAGTTTTAAACTCTGAATATAAATTTAAACTTATTTTTACTTTCTTTACTAAAAGCGCGACTGCTAAAAAGCATCAGAAATGCCGGATCTTAGTTAAAATAAATCAAAATAAATTTAATATTTCGCGTTTATACCAGTTTGTTTTTAAATAACACGAAAACACAAATTGGAATATGCAAAATGATATTTTTGACATTATAAACAAATAAGAAGAAAACTAAGAAGTTAATATTTAATACTTTACTGAAATTAAATTTTTTATGGCTATGGTTCAAAAATTGAAAAATAAATAAACATATTTAAAAGGAGTTTTAATACAACTAAACCCAACGTAAGAACTTATAGCATTTCTGATAATCAAAACCGACCATAAAATAATAATCAACTCAAATCAATTTAGTCTAGATCTCTGGAGGACCAGCTGTTTAAATTATTCATTTAGGAGGATTTGAGACGCCTGGGTCTATACAGATAAAATTCGATTTGATTCGCTATCAATTAAAACCTAATTGTGCAATAGATTTAACTTGACAATTACTTCTTGAACATAAAAATAACTAGCAGTAAAATACAAGATTAAAAATCGAAAATAAATTGAAAAAAAAATTGGGCTCGGAAAGGACTTGAACCGGCATTTTAATCTATATAGTGTCATCATATGCTATTATAACATGTAAAAATATTAAAGTTTTTCAAAAGCAACATACAAAGCAGTTATTATTTTAATCACTGCTAACTGATGATGTGTGGTATTTTTTAGTTAAACGATGATGCTGATAAACCGTTATAAGTTAGCTAGTCGGCAAACGTTTTCTTGTTTGCAATATAAATATTATTATGTTGATACGACCAAAATTTTATTACCATAAAATAGTTTCTTGCGAGTGAATCTTACAAGATAGGCTGTCTCGGGCATTTGTTTCGCGTCTAAACAAACAACTCTTCAGCTTTATATTTTATCTATAGTAATATATAAAACTGAAGAGTTTGTTTGTTTGTATGTTTGAACGCGATAATCTCAGGTGTAAAATGAAAAAATATTTTTGTGTTGGTTAGAGTATTTATCGGGGAAGGTTATAGGCTGCAACATCACGCTGTGACTAATAAGAGCTAAGAAACAGTGGGAAATGTGGAGAAAACAGGGAAAATTGTTCATCTTTGGGCAACAGCTTAATTAAATCTATAACGACGTATTCCAAAAGGACGACGTCGATAACACAGGTAGTATTAGTATAGTAAAGGTCGATGGTAACATGGAATTAATCAGATACTTTTGCAAAACGCCATGTTTTGCTTTGGTTTAAATAAATGGTAACACAGTTAAAATAACTAAGAAATATTTGCATAATGAAATATTTTAAGATAATCAATGTTACGGAACCCTTTCTACGAAAGTTCATCCGCAATAAGCCTATAACTATATATAGGGATAGACTGAGGGCATTTACATTATCTTATTCAATTGAGAATATACTGAAAAATACCGTCTCGTTTGACTCGCCTCCAAGCATTAGGGGTAATTTGTTAGACCTTCATTTACTTACAGCATTCCCAGAAGGTCGCAATACACAATGCAAAAAATAGTTCATCGGCTCTATTTTGACCTTCTGTAAAATATAAGGAAAACAAAACAAAGAAAATGTTTCAAACACATCCCCGAATAATACACATACAATGAAATTTCGTTTTTCGACGAGGGGCATGGGGCGAACACAATTATGTGTCCGTTTCTCTGATCGGTTCTTTCACAAGATAGTAGATGATTAAAAATTTGCGCCCTGTCCAATCGAAACAAGCTATTGTTTTTGCGTTTTACGCAATGCTAGGTAACACGCTTCTTCGTAAATAATCGTTGAGAAATAAAACATTTTTAAGTTTAAAACACGAAATGCTTGGGTTGCAGCGAAGCGTTCAAAATGCCCAGCTAACTAATGTATGTCACGTATAAAACCGTTAAAAGAAGTGAAGGTATACCCCATTAATGATTAATTATGAAGAATTGCCTTGCATTGGCGTAAACAAAACAATAGATTATTTCGGTTGGGCAGGGCGCAGAAGTGTGATCAAGTACTAGTGAAAGATCCGATCAGCGAAACAGACACATAATTGTATTCGCCCCATGCCCCTCGGGGGAAAACGGAATTTCACTTTATGTGTATTAGTATTCGGGGTGTCATTTTATGTGAGTGCTTTTAAGTTAAGGTTTACCTCTATTTATTTGTGATTACAATATGAATGGAGTCGAGGTGGAATGTAGGTCATCTGGTCGGATCACAATCGTATCCTATTTGAATAAGCAGCATTAATTACGTTGCTACGAAGTTTACTATCTAAGTTAGATCGTTAAAGCGCGACCTAAGCGCGTTTAAACTTCTGCAATATTACCTATAAAACTCTTTGTTCTGGTAAATATGGTAATAACCGGTTTCTTGTCTCGTAATAACCTCAAATCAATTAATTTCTTAATCTGTTTACGACGGAACGTCTATGTCGATCATAAAAAAAGTGAAATCCCGTTTTCCGCCCATGCGAACACATTTCTGTGTCCGTTTCAATGATCGGCTCTTTAACAGGCAAGTAGTTCATCAGATATCTGTGCCCAGCCCGACTGAGCAATTTGGATTCGAACCCAGGACTTCTCGCGCTTAACACAATGCTAGGCTACACGTCATTTGGCTACAGACCCGGTCAATATACAATTATGTCTATCGTAGTAATGACAAATCATTATTTAAAAAAACTTGAAACATTTGTGAAGAGGAAACTAAAACTTGGGGTTAATAAAAAAATAAACCTTTTCTCCCTACATCCTGAGTTTAGGATTGAGCTGTTAAGAAACTAAAAAGACTTGTTTGTACCAAGAGCGCAGGTCTCAACCATATCCCTGCAATCTTCCTCTGTAAGTGTGCAACCGCTATATCTCGTTCTCTCATTATATAAAATAAATCCCTTGGGACTGGCTCATTCCCAACCAAATGGAAGAAGGCTACAATTTTCCGATATTCAAAAGTGGAAAGCAGGAAGATATCGCTAATTACCGTCCTATATCCATTCTTTCTGCGGCGGCTAAGGTTTTCAAGGCCCTCATCTATAACTGCATAATAAACCAACTTAAGTATAAAATCAGGGATTCATGAAGGGTCGTTCAACAGCCACGATCCTGGTTGAGTTTACAATTACGTTAAAAACCTGCAAGTAGACGCCATCTATAGGTACAGACTGGCTTCGTTAATGACATTTGGAATAACAGAATCTCTTTTATGCTCTTTAAAGACTTACTTAAGAACAAGTGTAGTGGACGTTAATAGCTTTCTATCCTCACCTTACTGTCTTACCTGTGGCGTGCCACAAGGCTCAGTCTTTGGGTCTCTCTTGTACAACCCTTTTTGTCAATGATGTAGTATATATAGTATAGTTCCTTTAAACATTCAAAAGCGTTCCTCTTTGACGAGAACGTTGGTGATCTGTTACAGGTGACCTTACTGCTCTATCAGTTTGGTGTAAGACTCATTTTATGTACCTTTTAAAAAATATGTATAGTGCATTTGTAAGATCCAAATTAGAATACTGTAGTCAAGTATAGAATCCTAAAAAAGGAAAGAATGGAATCTTAGCTACGCAGGGTCACGGGGAGACACCGACCACGGCGGCTGCAAAGCAACCGAAACGACGGGCCGAAGTTAAAAATCACTTTCAAATAAGTTTAACTAATATTTCGCGTTTTAAACCGTTAAAGTGTTTTATTTAAATGTGTAGTACTCGCGTAAACTATAGACAGTATGTGATTTTATTTAGTTATTGTATTTCTTTTTCTTTTTTGCATTGTATAATATGAATATGGCGCAAAATATGCCTTTCATTCAAGTTTTTTTATATATCCTGATATGTTAACTGCCAATCTACTACCATATTGCCTAATTTATTCTTTGTAACTAGAATTCACGTTATTATTTGATAAATGTCTATTTGTCTGTCGTCTTTAAGTATTTCATGTCCTTCGTGTAAATATTACATTTTAACCGGACTTTCATCTTACGTAAATATAAAAAAAAGAAGTTAACAAATTAACAAAATTTATTGTTCCATTAAAAAAACATTACAGTATACATTTCAACATCAAAATAGGCTAAAATATATTTAACGATGGAAGTATTATCATTGTTTAATTTGAGTTCCTCACTTTTTTCGGGTGCGTTTCCTCGAAACTTTGTTCTTTTAATAGTTTTTCGTACAATTGGGAAACTGTGCGATACTTGCCGAGATCCAATTTGTGTCTGAAACAAAAGTTTGGGACATTATCTTCCGTCTTCGTAATCGTCTACATAACTTTATAACCCATTGAAAATATGATAATGTCAATAGCACACGAATGAAAGGAGTACGATTCACGCCAGAATAAGATTCTTTGGTCGTGTAAAAGTCAATAACAATAGGCCAATGTCTGAAATACCTACACACTTTTCTTTATTTGAAAAACATTTATATGTTCATTTCCATGAATTTTCCAGTACTTTTTTTTTACAAGGAATTTGGAAAAAAAGAAAATCGGAATACAGGATATAAACGAAAGTACGATCACCACTGTCCTTTATGTCGTATATACAATAGAAGAAAACTGTATTATGTAACGATATTAGTATAAAGGTAGTATAGAGTTGTCAACTGCACTATAAAATAATATAGTACAGTTGACAAGCCTAGTATGTATATGAAATAAATTAATATATTGAGTCTAGTTTTAATTTTAGCTATAGTTTTGTAGAAGATCAATTAATGTTCTTCGAGAAGGTAAATTAACTTTTTACAAAAAGTCATTTGTACTAAGTAATTAATATGACTCGAAGAACTATATCTGTTCAGATAAGAATTGTTAATGCGCCATTAAAGACGAAAATCGAATCAACCTATTAGCTCTTGCGACTTTTACAATTGTACCTGGTAACTGCATTATACAATTGGGGCACCAAGCAAAGGTCAGCCTTAGTGAATTGATCGCCAACACAATAGGTGCCCGCGGATTTTGTCAAAAGTTCCTCCAGACTTTGCAGGCCACGTTCCGTCCAGTACTTTGTAAAGGCGGTGTATTTGTCTTCAGTCTCGAAATAACCTTTCAAGCCAATGTTCTGAAGAGGCTGGATGCCGGAAACAACGGTCTGCGGAATTGAAAAGGCGAGTTTCATTTTACATAAGACGTAGGTAGACGTACTTATAAATAAACGGAACTATTTAAGTGTAGAGAAATGCAAAAGTAGTTGTTGAGACGATAGTAAGCGGAATAAAATTAAATATTTGGTTTTGATATTTTGAAATACCCAGAATGCAACCGAAACGCGAATAAACTTGGCGGCTTATCTCATCTGCGGACGATGGTTCCTAACCCGTACGGAATTTCGATGTTCCTAGTAACCATTTAATACTTAGATATCCATACAAACTCCCATTAGTTTCAGAAAAAATATAACTTGATTAAAACATGTTTTACCCGATGGGGATCGAACACCCAACCTGTTATTAGGCGTACATTCCTACCTACATTACGATGTTCCCCTCAAAATCTTTAAAACTTCTTGAACCAGTTCTTTATTTCCCGAAGAGCCTGCGTATTGAATGGGAAAATTCAAACAGAAATCCCAAGTTGAACGAGTTAAGTTCTACAAAAATATTTGGTTTGACGAATTGACAGGTAATATTGTGCTCATACAAAACCGATTGCCAAGTTGGAAATTGCGTTCGGGAACGCGTCAAAAATCTATCCACCTTTTACGCAGTTCTGTGCGAGTTTATATAGGTGTGGGATGATTAAATAATTACGCTGAACTGTTTTGCTTTTACCTCGCAGATTTCTTGCATGCGGGCCCTTTGTAGGGGGGAAGGGGGTTTCAAAGGTGGTTCGGGGCGTGTTTCGTCTAAGTACTCAATGATGGCCATTGACTCCACTAATGTCGCGCCATCTGAAGAAATATTTACTCGAACTAGAACTGTTATAATTGCAAATTAAATTAGAACCATATTATGTTTATCAAATTAAACACTTTTGACAGTTTAAAACCAGTTGTGTTGTTAATTTACTTAAAATACTGCTCGTTGCTTTTTGTACAAAAGCTGTTAAACGATTACGTTCATACGGAATCTAAGGCAAAATTCCAATTTTGACAAGGCGTATAATTTTTGAATACTTTAATATTTTTCCTACATGTATTAGTCTTTACAATACTGCAATAGTCGTTCACAAGTAAGGAAAACAACAGCAATCGAGCTAATATTTGTCACTGTATTGCCATGACGGTTCAACCGTCTCTAGCCCGGGCAAGCTCGGAACATTTTTTCGATTTTTAAATATCATAATTAGTTTACCGAACCTTTGCGTAAGGACGGTTTTTACTTATTACTGTTCAAATATTTTTTTTAACGCATTAAACCTTGATCGTCGTCAATAGAACGTAAGTATTACACATAGATCTGAACTAATATCCAAGAAGACACCCAGAATAATACATACAATATACATTACTGGTTTAATGTTTCCACACGAGTGTGACTGACCTAAATACGTATCAATTTGTCTCGTCTTTTCGTTCTCCTCTTATTAAAAGGCGTCACACTAGAGTGATTGAACTATTTGTTAAAATAGTTGCGGAGTTCAACTGTTTTAAATTAACTACCCGCAATTTTATTGACTCTTTTCACTGGTGATATCATATCTATAATAAATATCTCCAATAATTGTTGTTCATACGAAATTATACAACCTGCCAAAAATGTGATATTGTTATTATTAAATGATTTCGATTTAATATATATTTTATAATTGAAATTGTTTCTTTTTTTTTCTTTAGGAATAGTAAAAATAAATTGTTGAAGTGAGGTAGAATGTAAGGTCTTGGTAAAGTCAGATCAATAAAAATTAGTGTAGGACAGTTATTATAGCTTAGGGTGTAAAACAATAAGTATAATATGCACGAGGATTTTATATATAAGTCATTAAGATAGTCAGTTATTTAATCAGTGTTGAAGTCAACAAAACACAACAAACTAACAAAGATAAGTACAAAAAAAATATTCTTTTATAATACCGTCTCTATCCTTCGTGGCAAAACGCATTGCCGGTCCTGAGTTCGAATCCCGGGTAAATATAATAATAATTTAGGTCGGGCACAAAAACCTGATTAATTATATGCTTGTAAATAAAATCAATGAGCGAAACTGAAAAACATCATGCTGTTGTTGCATTTTAAATGTTGCAAGTAGTATTAGATAATAATTAAAAATCGAATTTAAATTAAAAAATAACTTGGGACAGGATGCCGGTTCAAGTCGTATTGTTTTTATATTTAAAATTAATTTTTAATTTATATATGCAATTACATGTGAAAAATATTAAAGTTTTCAAGTATTAGACATTTATTATGATATTAGTACTATTACCAAATATGCGTTCCAAGTTACATAGTACGAAGGCTTCATCCAAATGTAATCAAAAAGGATGACAATAGCATTAATTTCGCCATGATTAAAATGACGTGATACAGCGAGAAGCGAAGATGTGAGAACAATGACTTCTGAGGAAAAATCTTAATGGACACGTCACAAAGGGTCCGAAGAGCTATTCCCTTAGGTAATACGTATAATAACTTCTTCCTCTCCGAGACCACATTCTGACGAAACCTGATTATACTCGGCGTAGGGGTGAATATTCCTTTAAAAATTCTCACATACAAATTGGACCAAACGGTATGATATTACTTGTTAAACCACATTATGTTCGCGCGTCGATAAAAGCCTGTAGTACTTTCAATATTCGCACGATTTCAGCCAAATAAAAGGCTGGCTTCGATCCGATTCACGACCTTATCCTATTTTATTTCGCTTTTACATTTGAGTGAAACTGAAAGTCATAGCCGTATGGCGGCGGTGGAAATTTTAAAATCGTTGGTAGAAATCGAAAAGAAAATTAGAAAAGTGTTTGACTCACGTTGCACTTGAATTGGCATCTTCAGCATTCCGTGCTGTTGCTTTAATCAATTTAGCTACTGAGTCTCACACCTCATCGTCGAATTTTTTCAACTTATTGAATTTTCGCTTTGTCTTTATAGCGCCGTCATATGCAATAACATGTAAAAAATATTAACGTTATAACTTTGTTGTGGGGTTTTTAATATAAAATATGCAAACTTCTTAAACCATTCCGGGATGTCTACCGTATTATTCTTAAAATAATTATATAAGTTGGTATTTTCAACTCCGTGGCTAAATTGTTTTTTTGTGATACACCGCACTTATTAAATATAAAGACATATGCATAAGGGCAATGTTTACGAGCTAGTGACGTCATCAATAATCCGATCGCGAGACACAGATTAAACAAATTATTTAATCTTTCAAAGGTGCACTATTTTACAGGTTAAATAAAATGGCTACTGTATTTATTTACTATGCTTCTGATCACGTGTTCAAGGACGAAGAGAATGATACTTTCTTTGAAGAAGCGTAAATTTTTTATTTTACGTACGTGGTACGTGACCCGGACTGAATTTCCTACCGTCCATTTAATATCGAGATTTCCAGAAGAAGTCCAAGAGGCTTCGGAAAAATTATAAATTAATTAGGAACATGTTAGCTATACATTAGACCAATGAGCCGATTCCAGTAAATTGAAACCGATTTAATCGTATAATTATGAATTACTGAACATTTGTGGGATGATTAAAGAGCTTGCTGCAGATGTCACCGCTTATAGCACTTGTAGCTACAATGAACCCTCCACATCGACAAGTACACTACACTTCGTATGTGACCCTAATTACGCGTCATCAGTGATAATTGAAATAATTATTATAAGTACAATTGTCGTTTAATAATAATATTACTTTACCAATTGATCTCTTTAGTGGTAAAGAATGTTCATTTAATTTTGAGGAAAGCATAATCGCGGAATCCAATAGTTCTGTGACAGAAGTCTGATGAATTGTACGTAAAACAGACACGGAAATGTATCTGCTGCACGGACTGCATCACGTTCTACGTGATTGTACCTAAAATAATAATAATCTACACTAAAATATACAGCTGAAAAGTTTGTTTGAACGCGCTTATCTCAGGAACTACTGGTACGAATTGAAAAAACATTGTTTTGGTTACAATCTTTATCGAGAAGGGTAAAACATCAGAAAACAACAGAAATATATATAACATCGCACTGTAACCAATAAAAAAAACGGGGAAAATTATTCATCTTTGTAAGTTTCCGATGCGTCCGTTGCGAAAACGGTTCAAGATACTCAAAGAATATGTATGAATGATGATTTCTCTTTAAATGATCTAAAAATATTTCCGTGACACTAAATCTCTATCTTTTAAGGTTAACTTGCAAAAACGACGGGATGCGACCGATGTCGCGGGGAACAGCTTACATCTATAAAGATGGAGAAGGTTTTCAAAAACAAATTCGTATGCCGAAATTAACTATTCTACGCGTATGAGGTCGCTGACAAAGCTAATAACAAAATATAATACCAATACACAACGCTGGCACTTTCTGTGATGGGTTGATAGCTCTATATTGATCTGTTAGTTGAGCCTTCTCATGTAGAATATCCACAGACCGTTCTTCGTATGGTATTTTCTTTAGGTGAAGAGCAGCACGCACCCTCCACGTGCACGAAGACAGCCAGAAGCCATACAAAATTGTCTGTGGCTTAACCTGAAGACACGTCACAAAAGTCTACTCTATGTATCTCATCATACTGCCAATACATCATATTTAATTTGAATAAGATTAACTAATCTGGTTTGATAAAAGTTCGTTTGCGTATAACTATAAGCAAACGAACTTTTATCAAACCAGTATTAATTCTATCTTGTATTTTTTAATACAAACTTTTCTTGAACGCCATCTAGGGTACAAAATATATAACGTTCGTAGACAAATCAATTAAAATACCTTATAGCTTATCGACATATTTAAGTAATTAATAATACTAAGCACTTCAAACAAAATGTAGTAACGAAGTTAGGTTCGATTCAAAATATTTTTTGAATTTAGCTTACTATCAGAAACATCAGTTTCTAAGAGTCACCGTACTTAATTTCGTTGTCGTGAGGCAACTAGCACTAAGGAGATAATATGATTCACAATAGTAGCTACACCACATTATAAAACCCTATATAGTATTTGTTTTATAACGAATTATAACGAAACGAAATATGAAGAATTCATAGTAAATGACGGAAACAGCATTGACTTACGTTAAATAGGTATTTATCACTTATCATATCAAGTTTGTTTGTTTATAAAAACAAGTTTGACATATACATAGCATAAAGTAGGTATGTATAGCTATAGATGTTAGTGACCTAAAAAAGCTAAAACTAAACTCCTGCTTATCTATATTATCTGTGTCTTGTTTTAGAGTAAATCGTACATATTTAATTCTTGTGGTAAAGTATAATAAAATGAGATAAAATTTTATAGGTTAGTTACTTACCGCTGTCATATTTCAATTATTATTGATTTTCTTGAGATTGTATAATCTAAAACTGTTTCTATATTTACGAAGATCACTAAAGTTACATAAATTAAAATTTAAAGTTTTCGTTAACTACTGCAAGTCAATAAACTAAACAAGTGTATTGTAAATAATCTAGAATGCTAATACTTCTGCACTTCTGCACTGATGTTCTGTTGTCGTTTTCTATAGTCTATAGAGAGATGTCGCTATCTACAATACTTTTGTGATTTTTTTTTACTTTTGTATAATAATATGAATAAAGGAAAATTGGTGTATTATTTGTATATATATAATACATATGTATATTTATTTCCTACGAATGAAGTATCCTGTTGTACAACATATATTTTTTTTGTTTGTTTAAACGCGCTAATCTTAAGAAAGTACTGGTAGGAATTAAACAATTATTTGCGAGTTGTTTGGACTATTTATCGTATACTTTTGGCTATAAAATATCAGGCTGCGACCAAGAGGAGCTAAGAAACAAAGGGAACTGTAGAGAAATGGGGAAAATTATTCACCTTATAAAGTTTTTGTTGCATGTGCTGCGAAAACGGTTCAAGAAACAAAAAAAATAGGTATGAATGATTGATTCCTTATGGAAAAAAAGTTGATTGTCTTTTACGATAAACTTGCAAGAACGACGGGACTCCGTGTCCCGTCGTCCCGTCCCGACATCGTGGGAAACAGCTGTAAATTATGATGTTATGATATGAGGAAATTGTTTGCAAAAATAAATAATATGATGCCCAAAATGACAACTAAGAAGTACCGCGGAAGAAGTTGCGGGCACAGCAAGTATATATGTAATTGAAAGTATAAGACTTTAAAAATAAGTAGAATTAGTCAATTAAAGGTGTTTATGAAATAAAAATGCCAGTTTACATGCGTTCTTTTATTTACACTAAGTACATTTAGCTTTTAGGGTTAATCATTCTTATTGTTTTCTAGATTATCAAACTAGTTACTTCGTAGGATTATTCATTTTATGTATTCATACAATTTACTAAACTTTTAATAGGAGCTTCATCTACTTGACTTATCTTTAAATCAGCCAAATCTACATAATATTAGGTGCCTAACTATATGAGTAAGTTAGTTTTGGTACTTCTGTATTATTAGCTTTAAGAGTTATTTTACAAACCGAAGGTGACGAGGATATTGTAAAAATAATGTAACTTAATACTGTCTGTAGTACGCGAGTAGTACACATCTAAATAAAAATCTTTAACGGTTTAAAACGCTATATATAATAACTTATGTAACTACGGCAGAGGCCGTGGTTACAAGGAGTGTGCGTGTTAACTAATATATATCGCGTTTTAAACCGTTAAAGTGTTTTATTTAAAAGTAATGTCACTTGATACTTGCGAAGTGTATAGGAAATACATTCTCCTTTATCACCTACCCTTAAGCATCGTTAGCTAATATTCGTTTCATTTGGTCGACGGCATATAAATATCAAACAAAATAATAAGTGTTGGTAAATTTTATAACCTTTAAATATGAAAATATATACGTACCTACGGCCTACACAATATCAGTTGATCAAAATTATTGTACTGTTCAGCTTAGTTATCATGCTTACTTCGCGCACCGTCATAACGCATGGACATTTTAGTATGAGGTTTTTAGCCCCATCTTAAAGGTGAACCGGGTGGTCGCATGAATGTTGCTCGGGTTTCTGCTGTGAGGGTGCCTCCGTCGCCGCCGCCGCCGTCGTCCGGAAGACCATAAAAGGCATGCAGATGCCTCCGATGATGCAATTCGTGCCCCCTGTGAGTAAGACCTTGTAATCTACTCCAAAGAGAAAAAATCCTCTTTTTTACAACCTTTTTCGTTTTGTTCGGTTCTGATGCTGAAACACAAGGTTACATTTTAGATCCAGTGACCATAGTTTTACTCGTATATGTCACTGTGTGATTCTTAATAACATCAGCTTGAAAATTGTTATAGCGGAATTATAAATTGTTGACAAAGTGTGAACCATATATGTATATGTGCTTAGCGTAATATATAATAAATAGATTACAATCTATCGAAGTCAGAAAGCTTTAGAGGTTAAACTACGTCCCAATGCTGTTATTCAATTTTGGAATAGAAACATTTTTATTTAATAAAATGGCGACTCGATTCATAGAATATGAGATGTTACATAGATATAAACAATAATTAGGGTTAAAAAACACTTAACTGTTTAAAACGCGAAATATCCTAATTAAATTCGTTTACAAATTATTTTTAACTACCCCGTACCCGGCTGCTGCAAAGCACCTGAACCGTCGGGCCGTAGTATAAATTTCGTGTTTTGAATCGTTAGTGTTTTATTTAAATGTGCACTACTCGTGGACAGTATTTAATAATTATAGTCTTACATATCAATTGTATTTACCTCCTGATTTATCGCTCTCATCTTGTCTTAGATCATCTAATAAACCCACCCTTTTAACTGACTCAGTATTCGTCTGGTCTCTCACGATTCTAACATCGACAGGCATTGAATCAGTGTACCGGTCTAGTTCCATGTTATCAATGTTATTGCTCAATAAGGATAAACGTATCTTGAGAATCAATAAGGGACTTATTGTTACGATTTCCTCGAATTTTTTTGGATTACCAATTGGATTGGAGAGCACGGTTTTTGTGTCACTTTCCGAATTTCCAGTGAAATCTTTATTCTTATGAATATCGTTATCGTTCGATTCGTCTTCCGCGTATAACCACTTCGAATATTTAGGATATTCCAATTTCTGTTTTTTATTATTATTAAAATTCTTCCAATACTTCAAAATGTTTTCGTCTCCGATGTTTTCTTTACTATAAACGATATTTGGTACTTTTGGCTTTAACACGGGATGTCTTTTAAGCTGTAATATTAACTCGTCATCCCTTTGATCATTATTATTCTCGTTGTCTTGTTCTTCAAAGATTTTTTCCAATTCGAACCGATTCAGAAACGGTAGTTCATTTGTGGAGGATACAGCTAGAGTTATAGCTAGTAGTAGTAGTGGAAGCAGAGACTGTTGCATCTGAAACAAATAATATTTTTCAATCAAAATAGTAGTGAACGAGTGCTACTTTAAGTTTTTAAGTCTTTGCTTAACATTGTAATTACATAAATACTGTTTATAGTTTACGCGAGTAGTACACATTTAAATAAAACACTTTAACGATTTGAAACGTCGGCCGAAGTTAAAAATAATTTTCAAATAAGTCTAACTTATTTATCGCGTTTTAAACCGTTAAGTTTTTTATTTAAATTGTAATTACTTGTTTATTCAGGCCATAATGGAAAATTAAAAAAAACATGTGTACTATGTTTATATTATGTGTATATTTGTAAACGTCTTTTTCTTTTTTACTGATGGTGTGAATGCCTAATGGAGGGCCACGTCGGACAAGTGTGACGCCGAATAGATAGCCGAAACCACTAAACACACCACCAGCCCTGTACCGTGCTTAAAGGGAGCCCTGGGAACACGTTTGTAATATTTGCCTAAATGCTTTAAAGCCTAAGGAGGAACTTGCACGTCAATTAAATCTTTATCATTTTAATTTGGTATGAAGCAGTTTGTGACGAAGGTGGAACCTACGAACATACTGTGCGTGTCAGATACTTTTTATTTAAGAATAACATTGACTTTACGAATCACTTCTATTATATGAATCTTTAACCATACTAACTTTCAAGAACATTATAACTAACTCAAACCAAAATATTGACGTGAATATGAGTTTCATTTTTATCAGTATAAAATTAGTACAATCGTAGATTACAGCTGTAGCTGAAAGCTTAACAGTTGTGCGTGGCATGGCGCGAGAGGTCCAAGGTTCGAAAACAGGAGCAACTATAGATATTGTATCAACCACTAGCCTGTAAATAAAACCGATCAGATAAACAAACATAGAAATGTGTTCACCCCATGCCCCATAAGTGGAAACGGAATATCGCCGTTATATATCTAATTAGTAATACAAAATATCTTTATAGGTACATATGCCGAAAAATATTGAATTTTGATCTAATTTTTATCTCAACTTAAACAAAGTGCAACGTAAATTCCAATAATTATATTTTTAATTTGTACTTTTTTGGTCTTATTCATTTAGATCCAGAACCTAACTCCGAAGTCAGTCCACGTACAGCACGGTGGCTAGGAAAGTTATTAATGAACTCTTGAAAGGTCATTATCATTAATAACATTCCGTCGCTTTGAAAAAATAGACCAGAGGTAACAATATATTAAGCGTCTAATTAATATTATTCAGTGTTTTAAATAGTAAAATAAATGAAAAAAAAAAAATACACCAGTCTGCATCGTGAATTATAATTTTCGAAGGACACGTTGATCTTTGGTAGCAACTTGGTTAATAATCACATGGAAATCTTGCATGTGGTGGCACTCGATAAATTAAAAATCGTTTATAAGTTGAAAAAAAAAATACGACACGGGCAGAACGTGAGCCGGCATCCACAGCGTTTTTTCTTACTTCTTACACCAATTGAGCTACGGTGTCCTAGATAGACAGGTAGGTTAGGACACGGTAGGTCAATTGGTTATAGAACCAGCACGGAACGCTGTGAAAGCGAAAATAGATTGAAATAAAACACTTATTTAAAAATTATTTTAATTAAAATATATCGCGTTTTAAACCGTTAAAGTGTTTCATTTAAATGTGTACTACTTGCAAAAACTGTGGACAGTATATAGAAATACATTTTTCATCTAATCTTTATCTTATCGTTAACACGTCTGCCCTATAGGTTTTTGATGAAATTCAAATAAAATAATAGTACATTATAATATAAGGGCGGTAAGTTGAAAATTACAGCCGAGGCGATATTACTATAAGAAAGCAAAGGCTGTAATTTTCAAAGCGCACGTATGTCATACGACGTTTTATAACATATTTACGAGGAAATTAATTAAACTTAGTTAAACGAATAAATCTTTAATTAATTGTTAAAGCAGTTATAAAAATTTTTACTTGTCCACAAATAAGCGATGCGCGCGATTCAACTTTTTTTTTAGGCAAAGGTACAAAACAGCCAGTATTACTAATAAAGTAAATTAATATTTTTGTATTTTTGTTATAGATAAATGGTTGTAATTTATTGTCAACATTAATTAAATTAAAGAATTAAATGTTTATTTGTTATATTTTATTTCCCAAAGTTAATTTTATTCATAAAATATTGACCACTTTCTTGACATAAAACCTCTTTGCTAAGAAAAAAAACACGTGCCTTTTACATTACATTATCGCACAAGTACGTAATGAGATACATTACGATATTGAAATTGGTGTAAATACATCCACTTTACGAGCAAATATGTTATAAATTAGTTATACAGTGCTTTCTAATCTCGTTTATAATGTCTTATAATCTAATCAAGTATTATAGGTCTCAAATTAAAACTCAATTAGACATTTAAAAAAACGACGAAACAAGGTCTCGAACTCACGACCATATGACGACATATTGTTTTTCAGATGTTGTGTACTTTTTTTAAATGTACCTAATAAGAAAATGTCACGAAAAGCGACCTCATCTTGCAACACATTAAAAGCACTTTAAAATTCTTGTCTAAATGAACTCGAGCCTCGATATAAAGAAGCCAAATGAAGCATTCCTTTGACACGTTACGAGAGTAATTTGTGAAAACATTTCCATTCCGTCGCGGAATGTAATGTGAATTAAGGTTTTAAATCATTAGAATGTTTACACTTAGGGTGGATCTCGCCGAAGAGATACGGGCGCGACCCATTTTATTCTACAATTTATGCCTTTTAAGGCTTCGTTTAAAAACATATTTTTTATATTAGAGGCGAGGACAGACAAGCACGATCTCAACAAGATGGCTTTCAACCTATGTTTGGGATATTCGGACATCCACAGACAAACCGAAACGCGATTATACATCTGTGGACGGTGGTTTGTGCTACCACCCAGATTTCCAGACGAAGTCCAACATAAATACTGTCTGTAGTTTACGCGAGTAGTACACATTTAAGTAAAATACTTTAACGGTTTAAAACGCGATATACATTAGTAAAACTTATTTGATAATCATTTTAACTACGTTTCTGATGCTTTCACCCCATGACCACGGCTGCTACAACGCATCCGAAACGTCGGGCAGTAATTAAAATAATTTCAAATAAGTTTAACTAATATATATCGCGCTTTAAACCGTTAAAGTGTTTAATTTTAACGAAGTCCAACATGTTTCAAAATTATAAATTGTTTAGATAGATGTTGGAACCGGTGAGGATCGAACCAACGCTCCGTTGATTATTAGCCAACATTGCTACCATTATTACACCAACAAGCCCGTCAAATAAGTTTTAACTTTACATAGTTAAAACTTATTTGACGAGCTAACAACGCAGAATTTAAACGACACGCGAGGTAAATAATCGTTTGGTAAACCGAAATGTAAGCTTCAAACCATATATTTAACAATTGTTGATATCATGAAAGTTTAAATAAAACACTTTAACGGTTTAAAACGCGATATATTAGTTAAACTTATTTGAAAATGATTTTTAACTTCGGCCCGACGTTTCGGATGCTTTGCAACAGCCGTGGTCACGGGGAGACTCGACTAAAGTGTTATGTCGACCGTTAAATGTGTTTTATTTAAATGTGTACTACTCGCGTAAACTATAGATAGTATCATGAAAGTTCTTTTATATTCTTATATAACTGTTTCAAAGAATTAACCTATTCTAGTTAGATTAGAAAAGATTGCAATGAGATAATGGAGAAGGGTTTAACTTAGTGTCAGTTAGCGTCTAGACAAATGCAATAAAAATAGATAGATATCTATCCGTTACAAGTCAGCCAGTAATCCCTTTCTTCCCCCAGGAGATATTTCTATCCTTAACTGGACTTGTCACCGCGAAATACGAATTCTAGAAAACTCTATAATATTCTTTGTAAGTTCTTTGTTGTTTGATAAAATTATGAAAGCAATACGCGGCTCGCCTTTATGGATGAACTTGTTAGCATTGATTTAAGTGCGAGAGGCCGTGGGTTCGAATCCCGGAGAAACAGTAGATTATTTCACACTGACTTACTTGCCAAAATCATTAAACGATACAAAAATATGTTCGCCCCATCCCCAATGGAGAGATTTATTTTTCTAATTGAAATCACGCGGGGACACATTTTTGAGTTAGTTTGACGGGTCGATAAACATGGTTGACATAACTTATTGTCTCCCCATGACCACGCTTTAGAAAGCATCCAAACGTCGGGCCTATTAAAAATAATTTTTAAACAAGTTTATCTACAATATATCGCGTTTTAAACCGTTATAATGTTTTATTTAAATAACTTATATGCTTCGTTTTCCGGCATAGGAACCCAGGACCTCTTCAGGTTAAGGGTAGGTTTTAACATCGACGTTTAATGTATTTTTATACGTTCCTTAAGAAATTGTTGAGGAACGAAAACATTTTCTACAAATACAAAGTAATTATACTTGACAGCGTAACGAGATTAAATAATAATTAATTGTCGCCCAAAAGATTTGGATCAAATTAATGGCTTCGATTCTTACTTGAAAATTTATTTATTAAAGCTCTTCACAGCTTAAGGATTGGCTCGAGGTTCAATTAATTTTGTATATTTAAAATGTATATTGTCTTTATTTTAGATAATATAATAATAATAACAGTTATAGATTGTGCTTCTTAAAATTCCTTATGTATCTTGAAATATTATTTTTATGTATAGAAAATTATGGAGAAACAAAATTATGAATAGTTTAGCCTAAAAGTGGTTATAATTGCAAATTTTACTCACATCCTTTAGTTATGGTATATGCCTAAATGAAGTTTTTAATGTTCCCTTAATTTTTTTTAAAATTCCTATGTAAGTATAAAAACATATTAAAATTTCAGACAAAGAAAATATTTGTTTAAAACGTATAAAACATTTAAAATTTTAATTAACAAATTTGTTATTTTTATTAGAATATAACGCATTATTTTTACTCCAAATGCTTCTTTAAATAAT